TTGACATTTAGAAATTTGAAGAAAGGAGCTAAAGGTGTAGGGAAGGTGTGATGCGTAGGGGAAGAACAAAAAGGGAAAAGAAAAAAATGTGAGAGAATGAAAAGATGAAAATAAAGTGTTTGTAGATGGGGAGGGGAGGAGGGGGTGAAGGGAGGGCAGAGGTAAGGGGAAAAAATGAGAATCAAGACTTGCCATGTAGAGGTACATGATCCCAACAATGAATGTAACTGTACTGTATCCCTAAATGTACCAATAAACTCAATAAAATTAAAAAAAAAAAAAAAAAGCTCTTGTTCTTAAAAGCTGGGCATGATGGCCTGCCTGTAAAACCAGCTCCTGGAGATGGAAGCAGAACATCCAAAGTTTGAGGCCAATCTGGGCTACACATTGAGTTCAAGGCCAGCGTAGATTACACAGCAAGATCCCGATTCAACAAAACAAGAGAAAAGCTGGTTCTTTACTCTGAACTGTGACAGTGATTAGAGATCAGAGTTAAAATGGGAAAAAATAAAGGACAGTCTTTATACCTAAGGAGAAAATCAATGTCAAAAGTAAATATAAGTATTATAATGACTTGGTCCACTCAAGAAGTATTTGAGAATCTAACTACGTTCCAGAGAAGGATGTGGGCACAGGCCAGTGGTGTCGAAGACCACAGCAGTTAGAACTAGAAGCTCAGTGACGCTGAGTTCTGCGTTAGTGTTAGTAGTTCAAACAAGGTAGGTGGTACGTACGAAAATGGGACCAGAAAAGTAAAAGAAACCTGTGCACTGTCCGGGTATGGGGGCCGCGTCAGCGCTGGGACTTCAGACTTCCCATCAGCCCTGCCCAGAGCCCCACAACTGTGCCCTGATACACACACTCTCGCCGAGGTCTAACATCACCACTGCAAGCGGAAACGGACAGGGCACGGTCCTTCTACTCTGGCTCATCCTCAGAGTAAAGTAGCTCGGCTCGGTGGGCTACGCGACAGGCGAGCCTTGAGAACATCGTCTTCCTCTCCAGGACAAAACGGCACCGTTAGAATGACAAGATGGCCACAGAATCACACGGCCCTGGCGGCCTGAACCCGCATCTTCCTTCCCCAACTCTCCCGCTCGCCGGAGGTCGACAATCCGAGGCCCTGTAGTAGGACTCTCTCTTGTAACCCAAGCCCAGGCTAGTCCGCTCTCGGGGTGGGAGTGCCCGCTCCTACCCCACGCCTGCTTGCCCGCCCTCTTCCCCTCAGAGCCACAGAACGCTGCGCGCGGGCTCGGGCGAAAGGGTCGTACCCACGCTCCTAGGGAAGGGTAAGGCCTACTACTCCAGTGCCCGCCGCGGAAAGGACCCCAGACACTCACCAGCTCGTCCGCCGGAAAAGATGAGCCGACAATCGCGCCGCAGCCCCGCCCCGCCCCGCACGCAAATGCGTCATTACGGCGCACCGCCTCCTGCCAACTCCTTCCTGGCCCAAGCAGCCCGGCCTTCCTCCGCCCTACTGGACGACTCCCAGCGCGCAGGCGCAGACGCGTCTGCCTCGTCCGCGTCTGTGCAGGCGCCCGACCCCCTCCATATAGAGCCTGGGGGTGGGGGGGAGGTCAAGCGTAACCTCTTCTCCTTTACCAAGATGGCGTCTTGTCCGTGTTTGGCCACAGTTCCTACCTTATGAGCTTGGTTTCTTCACGCTATTAAGATTGGTACAGGTAATGAGATTCTTCGCCTTGTGGGTAACTAGAGTCGGGGGAAGGACATTTCTCTAGAAGGAGTTAAATGGCCCCTAGGATAGGAGACGGCCAGGGGCGGGCAAGTGGCGCCGTGAGTGCCGAGCAATAACGGTAGGGGGCTTTCGCTTCTGCCCTCTCCTCCAGAAAGATGGCGGCAGCAGCGAGCTGCGAGCGCCGAGCTGGGCGGGGTCGGGGCC